ATATTTAGTTTGTTTTTATTGGTGAAAGCAAAAGAAAATTGAAAAGCAATTACAATTACATCAGCATGCATGATAGTAATGAATTTATATGTTCATGGGTTTTCTGAGACTTCTTTCTCTAAATTATCTGGCCAGGGCCAAGAGAATGAATGACCTTGGGTTATTTTTTCAAGTGAAGTTCAAAGGCCCTCTAATGAAGATGCTTATGGCTCTTCTGTAGGAGTCTATAGGAAATATATAGAAAATACACAAAGATCCTAACATAGGGGAAAAAAAAGTCCTAGTTATTAATAGCTAAGTTGGAATGCATATATTTTCTAGAAAGCAATGTGCCTTCATTATATTTCCCAAAGGATGGCACTTGTAGTTACAAAATAGTGAGAAGCAAACATATCTTTATTCACAACATAAGACAGGTCATAGAAACTGGTCTCCTTGGTTCAAGCCTCTCACCACTCCAACCTGTTCTCCATTTTTTTTGTTGTTTGTCCTTCGTCCTGTTCTCAAAGACAATCAATGACATCAAGAGGGTGATGTCTTGACTTGCATGTAAGTTGGATTTAAGTGAGGTAGAGCTGTACAAAGTTGTGACTTTTCTAAAGGATAATCTGATCATCATATACACACAAATATACACAAATATGCAACACACACACACACACACACTCCCTATTTAAAGAGTTCCAGTGGCTTCTGATTTCCTTCAGGCTCAAATTAAAATTTCTCTATTTGGTATTTAAAGCTCTTTATAACCTGGTCCCTTCCTTCCTTTCCTTATTCCCCCTCCACAAACCCTCTAATCCATCTACAGTGACCTACTCGCAGTTCCTCAAACATGACACACCACCTCGCATCTTTATGCCTTTGCAGGGCTGTCCACCATTTTTAGAATCCTCTGCCCCCTCAATTCACCTCCTAGTTTCCCTGGCTTCATCCAAGACTCATCTTAAATCCATTGACTGCTGTGGTCCTTTCCAGGTCCTCCAGCTACCTTCTCCTTTCAGGTTCTCCTTTCATCTACTTTTTATTACATGTTGTTAGAATGTGAGTTCTTTGAGGTCAGGGACTGTTTTGTTAGTCAATCAACAGGCATTTATTAAGCACTTACTATGTGCCAAGCACTAGGGATACAAGGAAATGCAAAAACAGTCCCTGGTTTCATGGAGCTTGGATTCTAATAGGCGAGACAAAATCTAAATTACTGAGGTAGGTCAGTGCAGTTAAACCAGAAAGTTTGTGGAGGGGAGTAAAGCATAAGGAGACTGGAAAGATAGGGAGGGGCCAGAGAATGGATAGCTTAAAATGTCCAAAAGAGGAATCTACATTTGATCCTAAAGAAAATAGGAAGTATTAATGTTTATTGAGCAGGGATGGGACTGGGGGGAGGGCATTTGAGGGAGAGAGGGAATAACATGTAGAAGGCAACCAGGAGTCAATGGCCTTGATTCCATGTCATATGAAGATAGATTGAAAGATTTGGGGGTACTTGGTCAGGACCAAGAAAACTCAAAGGGGAGATAATGGTTATCTTCAAGTATTTCAATGACTGTTAAGTGGAAATGGGTTTACAGTTGTCCTGTTTGGTTCGATTTTCCAAGAACAGTGGGTAGATGTTGCAAAGAGGTAAATTTAGGCTAGCTATCAGGAAAAACTTCCTAACTAATTAGAGCTATCCCAAAGTAGAAAGGACTGTCTCAGTAGGTAGTAAATTCCCCTTTCTTGAAGGTCTTTAAGCTGGCTGACCATTAGTTGCCTATGTTATGTGTTGGTTTAGATGTCCAATGAGGTCCCTTCCAGCCCTAAAATTCTGTGACTGTGTAATATGGATGAAATATCAGTTACCAGGAAACCTAAATCACTCATATGATACTGCCTTAAAAGGAGAAACTCACAGTGTTCATCACTACACTGCCTCCTACAAGGTGGTCTGATAGGAAATAAATATTGTATGTCTTCACAGAGAAAATATTTCTAATAAAGCCCCTCTGATTTATATGTGAAAGAATGAAAAAGCCTTTATTAAGTACTTGATTAGAAATTAGACTTTTGCTTGGTGCAGAAGTAGAACCAGTGGGTGAAAGTTATATAATGGTAGATATCTTCTCATTATACCATGGAACTTTTTTTTTTTTAAACACTGGATCTCCCTATTTTGTCCAAGCTGGAAATGTAGTGACCATTCACAGGCCTGGTCCCAATACTAATTAGCACAGAAGCTGTTACCTGCTCCATTTTTTAGATCTGGACCACCTTAAGTAGCTTGGTGGCCCTCCACTCCCAAGGGCTCCCATACTGATGCCGCACTCAGAGCAGATAGATAATCAATTTCAGCCCTACTTCAGCTTAGAATTCCCATACTCCAGGGATCCACCAGCCTCCACCTTCCCAATAGCAGGGATTACAGAAGTGTGCCATCAGAGGGTTCCTGATAATTCAAGTTGTCCAAAAGTCACTGGAGGTTTTTGATTGGAAGATTCAATCCACCAAGCATTTCTTAAGTGCCTCCTGTATGGTGCTGGGGACTAGAAGAATGAATGATTACTTGAGTAAGTTACAGGAAAGAGTCATGTTTCAGGGAGTAGTTAGGCTTGAGGACCTCTGAGATCCTTTCTAACTCTTCAGAGTCTGATTTTGTTGTGGTAGCAGATGGGGACAAAAGATAGAGAAGGAGTTGAGAGGGGCAGTGAAGAAAGAATCAGCAATACTTGATGACTGATTGAACTGAAGGAAGAAGGGTACAAAGAAGAAGGATTTAGGCAAATATTACAAATAACTTCCTGACTCTAAGTTTGTAAATTCATGAAACAGTACCAGGAGAGGATATGTATCTCTTTTTCTGGAGATTGTTCAGATAAGACAAAGGCAGGAGCATAACATTAACTGTCCTCTTAAGGTCCTGAGTCTAAAATTTGGTAACCTCATTTTATTTATTTATATATTGGAGGCAATTTGGGATTAAGTGACTTGCCCAGGATCACACAGCTAGTAAATGTCTGAGGCTGGATTTGAACTCAAATCCATCTGACTCCAAGGGGAGCAGGGGAGGAAAGAGTGGTGGTACTCTATCCATTTGCCACCTATCTGCCCCTGTAACTTCATTTTAAAGAACTGGGTTGTTTCTAAATCAGGAAAGAAAGCTGACCTCAGGAAATGAAGAATGACTGTACCCTAGCTTTCATCTTAATCTCCTTAGTCTCCTTGCTTAGGTATAGTTTTTTTGATCCTCGGCTATCACTCAGCCCATCTATCTATGCAATAGTCTTTGCCCTATCAATTAAATCGGTATTTATTTATTTAGTATCAATAATGTGTATAATGTTGTGCTGGGTGGAGGCAGCATATCCAATGAAATATAAGACATAATCCCTAGCCTGATGTGCCTCACCCTATGCCCAGGGACATCTCTATTAAGAGTAACCTCACTTCCACTCCCACCATGGCTCCTCCTTGAAATAGCTAGATTGATTTATATGCTGCCCCGTCTTGACTGCACAGCCGTCTTCCCTACCCACCATGATAGCAAGAATAAGAGCCTTCAGCTCAGAAAGGGCCACAAACCAGACATTTTTCATCCCATGCTTTCGTCACATGGTTTCCTCATCTCCTACAACACAGCCTTCATTACCATTCAGGAAGGCTTCTCTGAGGATATTTTAACAAGCATTCTTAAGAAGGCTTTTGAGGAAACTTAGGGTCATTTGGTGACCTTTTGAGTCAAGGAACCAGAGATGTTTGCTTGGCTGCCCTTTTGTAGCAAGCTTAAGGGTTAGAGAGCAAATTGTTCTTTCTGCTGAGTTCAAGTTTGAGGCTCCATTTCCACTTGGTCTCTGCATAACCATTTGTATGCTAAGCGCTGGAATCACTCTAAGCCGAGGTTTCTGACCTTTTTCAGTCCCTGTAACCCTTGGCTTTCAGTAAACCTTCCTATGCCCCTTACTCAATATGAAAGGAAACAGAATTCTAGAGTTTGCCATGTTTATGCACATGAGACATAACGTAGACTAATTTTTCATGATGACAATTCTATTTGGTACATAACATTTTAGTATCTTAAAATAATTCAATGTTTATCAGAATACAGCCAAATTAATTAGAGAAACCTTGGTTCTATTTCTTGTTCACAAATAGTTTTATTCTTGACATAGTTTTTGAAAGAGATACCCATATGTCATGTTCAGTCTCTAATTTGTTTCTGGGTGGCACAGAGGATAGAGTCAAGAGTAAGGACAACCTGAGTTCAAATCTGGCCTAAAGTCACTTAACCTCTGTTTGCCTCAGTTTCCTCTTATGTAAAATGGGGGTAATAATAGCACCGACCTCCCAGAGTTGTTGTGAGGATCAAATGAGATAATAATTGGAAAGTGCTTGGTGTGGGCCTGCCGCTCAGTGGACATGTAATAAATGTTAGCTATTTTATTATTGTTGTTGTTGTTGTTTTGGTTTTGACTGTGAGCAAGGCTGGGAATCCTGATTTCACAAAGATAAGTTCTAATAAATGGAATTTTACTATAGGATAGTTACCATGATTTACCAAATATTTCCCATACCCCCTTAACAAGCTTCTTGTAACCCTTCAGGATCTAAGTGCCCCAGGTTGGGAACTTTTTATCTAGGCTGAGGACTGTCTGTAAATACATGGTCCCTGTGCTGAAGGAGCTTACTACCTAGTTGAAGAGATTAGCTTACCCATGTGAAACAAGTAGGCATAAAAAGACATAGAACCAGGCTCCAAAATGTGTGATGCAGACGCTAACCACTGTTGAGTTCTAAGGGAGAGATCATTGTGGGCTGAACTAGCTGGGAAAAGCAGCACTGGTTAACTTTTCCATTCACAAAACAAAAAGGAAAACAAAACAAAACAACAATTTGCATAATCGAGGCAGTCATGTGAAATGTCTACGTATTCAAATGCACATTTTTACAGGGAAATACTTTTGGCTCATCTGAGTCATCCTTCTCAGCTCTTCTCTCCCTCCCTTTCGTCCCTCTCCACCTGGCAGGTGGCTAGAGGTACAGGTAGCTAATCTGACATGCCCCCAGCGCTGGGTCCAGTATCTCCGGCTCCTGCAGGAGTCCATCTGGCCAGGGGGCAGCCTGCCAGTGCTGCCGAAGCCTCTGAGAACACAGAAACAGAAGGAAGCTACAGAGGAGCAAGCTCTGCAAAGCCTGATGGGAGTCCTGCCAGGTGAGCCAGCCACCACACCATCAGCTAGCCAGACAGGCGATACCGACCCCTCTCCCACAGCCTGCACCCCTTCTGAAAGCTAGAGAAGGTGCTCTGCCCCCAGACTCAAATAAAACAACACGGAGTAAGGAAGAACCCTAGTCAAAAGACCTATGTTGAAATTCCAGCTCTGTGAGTTACTACCCGTGTGACTTTGGACAACTTAGTACCCCTCTCTGGGTCTCAATTTCCCCATCTATAAATTGGGGCATGGTGGAGAGAGAAGAATTGGACGAGATGATGTTACAGTTTCATCTAGCTCCAAATCTGTGACCTGGCTTAGATATCCAGCTCTCTGCATGTTACCTTGAACAAGTAATTTTTAAATTCTCTGAGCCTCAGTTTCCTGATGTGTAAAATGAGGGGGCCAGATTAGGTGAATTCTAAGGTTCTTTATATAACTAAATCCTATGACATACTGACCTACTGATCCTCCATTCCCTTTAACCAGTAGGGAATCAGAGCCAGATTCCCATGTCTTTTTCACCAAGGCTATGTCCGAAGTGCAGAGCAAAAGCTGCATGTATTTAGGATACAGGGCTGAGCACCACTGGGAAAGTTCACAAATATTTCTCTGTTGTTTCCTTATCAGACTTGGTAGTGGAAATCCTTGGAGCAAACAAGTGCCGCCTGAGCTGGGGTTTGGTCCTGGAGTCTCTGCAGCAGCCCCTCATCAACAGGTAGAGATGAAAAGTGTATCCTGAATGTCTACTCAGCCAATGGCAGCAACTGCCCAAGACCTGGGAGGTCAAGGGGTCTGGGTCAGAGAGTTTGGGTGATACTAAGAGTAAGATCAGACAGTCTGCAAGAAGCCAACTGGGCAAAACTCCAAGATATTCACCTCAAGGCAGAGTGTTGCTGTCCATGTCCTACCACCATCAATCTGCACCTAGGCCAGTCTCAGGCACATTATCCTACAGACCACTGGGTAAACTGGCACTTGCTGCCTGGAGGAGTCCAACCTTGCCCTGGAGTACTAGGACTAGCACTAGCACTCTTCTGCTTTTTGTGGGGGGGAGAACAGTGGAATCAGGGAGAATACTGATATGGAAAGAGATGCTAATCAGTTCATATTAATATGTTTCTATATGAGTAGTGTGACAAGGACCCTCTGGAGAGAAACTCTTATTGGGAAAGAATAGCAGGAAAATGTCTGGACTGAAAGTCAAAACCTTTGACTTCTAGTACTATATTTACATTTTACATCTAGGGAAATTTGGTAAGCTTAGGGCAAGTTTCTTAACCTGAAATCAACAGATTCCTTAGGAATGAATGGATAGATTTCAGGGGGTCTGTGAACTTGAGTGGAAAAAAAAATAACATCTTTATTTTCACTAAACTCTAATTGAAGTTTAGCATTTTTTTCAATTATTTAAAAAAATTTTTTTGAGAAAAGCTTTTGTAGGTTTCACCAGACTGCCAAAAGGTTAAGACCTACTAATGCAGTGGAAAGAGTATTATATTTGCAATCAGAAAGACCTGGGTAAAATCCTACTTCAGACACTCACTAGCAGAGTAACTTGGGCAAAAATCACTTAACAACTCAGGGCCTTGGTTTCCTCATTATAAAATGAAGGGACTGGAATCCATGACCGCTGAGATCCCTTTGAAATCTAACTCTGTGGTCCTATAAATAATTTTCTTCTCTGGGCCTCAGTTTCTTCATCTATAAAATGATTGTTGTTCATCCTTCATTCTTGAAAAGGGCCATGACATCACGGAAGTGATGCTATGACATGCAAGTGAATTAGATTTAAGTGAGGGAGGGCTGTGTAAAGTCACCAGCCTCACTTTCTGCTTGGGAGCTATCTGGGTCCAGTGGCCAGATACACATCAGAATGACTGGAGATAACCCCAGATGCAGTAGAAGACCTTAGCCTTTTAAAGCTAAGTAGAACACAATGGCTGCCCCATTATAGAGAATAGAGGAGAAGGTTAGAGGATAGAGGAGAAGGTTAGAGGACAGAGGAGAAGGTTAGAGGATAGAGGAGAAGGTTAGAGGACAGAGGAGAAGGTTAGAGGATAGAGGAGAAGGTTAGCTCAAGCTTCAGGGACTGAGGTCTTGAAATGAGGTTAAAAAAAAAAGGGAGAAATCTGAATCTCCTCAAATTGGTTATTAATAATCATTTCTCTCACTGAAAAGGAAATTCTTCCCCCACAATGGTCATCCGATCTCACCTTGAAGGCTTTGAGTGATGGGAAATTGTAGCCCATGAATCAAGCCATTACATTTTGGCACAGTTTTAATTATTGAAACTTTTTCCCCTTTACATTGAATTGAATTGCCCTTAAGGGCAATCAAAATAAGTCTGATCTCTCTTTCATATATGTGCCTTTTAAGTCTTCATAATAACTCCAATTTTTATGGCACTATAAGGTTGGTAGAGCTATTCACTCCCAAGAACCCCATTAAATGAGTAGCACAATTATTATAACCCCCATTTTACAGATGAGGAAACTGAGGTTCCAAGATATTAATTACTTGCTGATGATCATATAGCTAGTAAGTATCCAAAGCAGTATTCAAACCTATGTCTCCTAACTCATAAGCCCAACATTAGGTGACGTTAAACAGTAATGGCTCTTTCTAAGTTTCTTCTTCAGGTAAAATATCAATAGTCCCTTCAACCAGTCAGTTTTCATATAGTATGGCTTTAAATCTCCTCACAATCCTCTGGACTCATTCTTGTTTGTCAATATCCTTCCAAAATTTTGGCACCCAGAACCAAACACAATACTGCATTTGTATATACTGAGCAGAACAGTACAGAACAACACCGTCAACTCTCATTCTGAACATTTGCCTTTATTAAGGCAACGTAAGATCACAAGTTTTGTAGCTGTTGTTGTTGGCCACCATATTGCACCATTGACTCACTTACCTTGTAGTCTACTAAAACCCCACTCTTTGTTGGTTCATTTCAGGCACTTAATTTATTGCCTCTGGGATATCATCCTGGAGTTCCTGGATCTCAGTGCCTCTGCTGAGGAGTCTGCCACGACCACGCCTGCTCCAGACACACCAAGTAACCCCAGGAAGACAGGGGTCTCCCCCTGACTACTGAGCACTCCTCATAAATGTTCTGGATAGGGCTAGAGAAAGAGAATGAATTTCCGAGTTGTAACGTTCAAGATATCTCAGCTCCCTGGGAGGCAGGACCAGAAGACTATGCTCTCAGCAGTTATATGGTGAAAGCAAGAGTGACTGAGAAAGTCTTGTGGCATAGCTGCTGTCCCCAGCAACCAATTCTATTGTTGGCAAATGATCACCCAAGTTTGCAATTAGGGATGAATATGTTACCTGCATGCCCATCCATTTCCATGGTTCCTTAATCTCAGTTGGCTTGCTAGTAGTGGGTGGAGCCTGATTTCTTTAGAAAAAACACTGGGAATTGAAGAAGGGGTGGAGTACATCCTATCCTATTCCTTTCTTTGCCAATCTCTACCGTGCAATGTTGACACCTGACTATCACTTGGCCCCATGCAACTCCTTTGCCACATAGGTTCTGGTCAAAACAGAGGAAAACTACTGCCAGGTCCTCTTAGGGAAAAGACTGCCTCTCTCTGGGACCTTCCTCCCTCCTGAAAGGAAATGAAACTCAGGGCAATGACATCAAGTAGCAGGGAAAGTGTATTCAGTTGTCCTACTTGGTTTCTTCTATCAGGAGAGGAGAGAGAGAAAGTGCTTGATTCACTGCTATTGGCTCCTTGTCTGTGTCCTCATGCATAAGCTTTCTAAGAGAAGACACTAGATTTCCTCTTAGTCAGCATCCTTCTACCTGTCCTGAACTTCTGGTGAATCCCCTGAGGGCTCCTCCCCTCTCCTCCCACATCTTTCCTGGTAAGACCTACCCTTCAGGGTTTTTTGGTTCATTTCTGCCTCCTCAGAATTTGGGAGGACGCTCAAGTTCCATTTCCCTGAACCAGAAGCATGGGAGGAAGGGAATCTGCAGCTTCAACTTCCTGGGCCAGCATCTAGGGAAGAGAAAGAAAAATCTTGCACAAAGTCAAGGATATATTGGTCCTCCTTATTCTGAGACATTTAAGGAAATGGAACCAAGAGTCTATGGGGCTCTTTCTTCATCCTCTTCTAAAAGTTACAGTTCACAGCAAAAGGCTTTAGGACCTATTTTATTACACCACAAAAGCTTTTTCACTTCTTGTTCACAGATGAGAAAACAGATCTGACCTATCAGGTTAAATCTATTTCCTTGGATTAAATAAAAGGCGCTATGA